TCTGACCCAGACACTTTCTCTCATGATTTATAAAGAAATATATTTGGACTTTCTAGGCACTGGCTAACACGCAAGGTGGTGAATAATAATGAAAATAAAGAAGAGTAAATATAAGAGCTTGAACTGTCTTCGTGACTACTTTATTAACTTTACAAATGGCATCTCATCTATACAGGCATGAAATCAGAACCATGAGCGAGTTCCATGAGATTCCTGCAAGACCCAAATATCAACTGGCGTGAGGATGGAGCCATGCAACTCTTTTGCAAGCTTAGAATCCTTGTCCTAGCATGAAAGGAGTAAAAATACCTACAGATACGTATCTCTTTCAGATCAGAGAAGCAGGGAAGTGTTTTTGCTTTAGGGAATCGTATTTCTAGACTCAGATACCTGATCAGCTATATCCCTTTTTGTATCCTATGTAAGACAATTACGCAGGGATACACTCCGCTAGTAAGGTTGCATTTACCTTTTTGCTGTGTCCCAAATACTTTTTGAAAGGCAGCCTGTAGCACAGGTATCAAGACATTATTCCTAACGGACAGCAGGACTGCAAATGCTACCCCTAGCTCAGATTTCTTTTGACAGGCCAGGTGAAGAGCACAGACATGTAATTTGGACTGGAGGAAACATGATTTTCATGTTCAGGAAGATGGAAGCTGAAGCTAGCACAGTGGGTAGTTGCCTTGGGAGACAGGAATGCAGCTGAGGTGCAAGCAAACTCAGAAATCTGGGACTCTCTTTTCATAAGGATTATAAAACAACAACTTTATAGGCAACCTAAAATGCTAATGAATTTCAAGAGGATCTGATGACAAAAGCCTCTGTTGCCATAGGATGGAGGGCAATGGACACAAGCTGAAGCAAAGGAGAGTCAACCATCTGAACTTAAAGAAAGGCTCTTTGACTCTCTGGATTGTCCAGAGGAGCTGTACATTCTCCATCCTTGCAGATACTCAAAACCCAGCTGGACATGGTCCTGGAAAACTGGCTGGAGGTGGCCTTGCTTGAAGAGGGCATGTGGAATAGACAGTCATGAGAAGTCCCTTCTGACCTCAGCCCTTCTGTGATTCAGTGAAGATTGAAGCAACTGGGTGGGGGATACCAGCTAACACACTGCAGTGTGCACCTCTGGGACCTTGTGTACAATCCAGTTAAGAGATCTTCTTTTCAAGACACTAAGACTTAAGAACTCTTAGGTGTTCTCAGACAACTAATTCTAATTCTAATTCTAATTCTAATTCTAATTCTAATTCTAATTCTAATTCTTACTATTACTACTCTTGCTGCTGTTACTACTTCAAAGGGAAGGAAACTTACCCTTCTGTAACTTTGTTAGATCCTCCTTTTTTTCTAGGTAAGATTCTTCAAACTGCAGGAAATAGAAGAGAAATTTGCTGTCATTCCATGTTTTGGCTTCTTCCTCTTTTAGATAAAGAAAACTTAAAGAGATGTGTTTTGGGAAATTTGATTTGTTTGAACCATATGTCATACTTGAAAGCTGTCAGGCCCATTGGCCATCACTGTGACAGAAACCCAGGGATCTGGAAACATAAATTCCCCACACAGATTGTGAAACACTCCATCTCTGGTTTAGTATCAGAATCTGTCAGAGGTCAAAAAAATTACTCTGTGGTTTACAATATACGGTACCTTCAGGGGTAAACTACACTGTAGTAGCAATAATAATCTCTTGCTATTTTGCATGTTGGAATTTAACTGAAGGTACTCAGAATTGCAGGTGCTTGACCTCTGGATCAGAAGATAAGAAGCCAGGATCTGCTGCTGGGGTTTAAAATTTCTTCTTTCTCTAGCTACAGGGGAGAAGCATTTGTGGTGCTACCAGCGGGCTTTGCACATGATGTGTGCAAGTGAGACAGGAACTTGCCCCCTGCTTAGGGCAGGCTCGTGGTCACTGTTGGCTTGCTCAGCAATGCACTAAATGCAAAGTTTGAAACTGCTGCTCAATCACACTTCTCATACAGAACAGTAAAAACACATATTGGTCACAGGATCTCCGAGGCAAACCTCAACCCCAGCTGCAGCCAGTAGCCACCGAATTGGTTCCATCCGGCCTCGTCCATTGAAGTAGTGCAGCTTGGGTTTTCCAGACATGTTTCCTCGTGCCGGATTTCCTAGTATCTGCAATGAAGAAATAACTTTTGCAGTTGTGAGTCTACAACTGGCTCTTGAAATAGTCTTGTTTGAAATCAATGATTTATTGTCCAGGACTTTAATCAATTAACAGAGGAGGTAAAAGTTAGACTATATTGAGAGAATGCCTTTTATCGTTCTGCCTAAAAAATGCTTCTTACACATGCAGAATAGTTAAGTAGAACCCTGTACAATTAGAGGAATATGCCTAGTCAGAGAATCAGTGAATCAAAATCATTTGCATCCAAAGTGTTCTGTTCTGACCAAAAAGCAGAGGCTGCTCTCTGTGTATTTTGGCATGATTTCAAATTACAGTTTACTGTTTAATCAGATACATGCTATAAACTCAGCAATTGCTGTGCTTTCTCCAGCAGCCACTATGCTCCATTAAAACCGGCCAGAAAGGAATTCTTTCCCCCAATTCTTTCAACCTCTTTTACAGCACTTCCTGCTTCTGTAATTTCTTTAGAGAAGCCTTCAAAGACATGAAAATTAATTTTGTCACAGCAACATCAGATTTGCCTTTACCGCAGGCATAACCACAGGGCAATGTTTGCCTGGTCCAGTTCCAACTCTGCTGGAATTTCAAGCAACAGCAGTTCCTAGGAAGCAACTTAAAGCAGCCACAGTTTCTCGGCAGGCTGTCAGCCACTCCACTCAGACCCACACGTGCACAACAGCAACAAGCACACACAAACAGTGCCCAGCCTATGCCAGCCTCACGGCATTGATGCACTGTCAGCAACAAAGCTGAAGCATTAACAGCAGCAAAGGGAAAATGCCCAAACCCCCACCATACTCCCCTTGCAAAGAACATGCCAGCTTCTTGATGGTACGAAGAAGAAGGTGAGAGGAGCCACTCCCCAGTTGTGAGCTACATTTAATTTTCCTACCTCTGTATACCTCCAAAGCAGCTGTAAAGAATTCAATATTTGGTACACACAACCATATTAGTAAAGAAAGTGCATACACATATTTAATCTATAAAAGCCATTCACTGACTAAGTTCCATATACAACTCCCTGCATGTCCAAAATAAAAAAACCCATTTACCTTGTGCACAGTGTAACCCAATCTAAGCTCTCAGCAGTTCTGCCTTGAGATTATATAACCCTGTAGCCCCTCCTATAGAGAACTGCAAACAGTTCTCTACAAATGGGAAACCCCTTTCTCTTAAGCAAACAAAACCAATTAGCTCTGTTTAGTTACTTCTCACCTACAGGAAATAAATCCCTGACTAATGCTGACTATGTACAAATGTAAGATAGAGGAGAGGTCATGATGATTGGGAACATCTGTCCCAGCACAAAATGGTAATATGCCTTCTATTTTCATTACTTCGTACCATGCTAGTTAAAAATAATTGTAATGGCTGAAAAGTTCACTCGGTTTAAAAGAACACTGCTATGCCCATCTGTGGAGGAAGCCCAGTCCTCTGACAGGCATCCTCCCTGGAGATCTGCCCCCTAAGATAGTATAAAACTGCCTAGTCACTGTGACTAAGCTGTGGACATCTTCCTGCCTTAGGATCCCATGTTATCTCCCTGTTAACTATTGGTCATCTTACCCTGGTTTCAGACCATAGGCCCCTTTTCCAGTTCTCCCCTTCCCTATAAAAACCTGAGCTTCTGCCGAGATCAGGGTTAGATCATCACTGGCCCCCTTGGCTGAAGCCTGCAATAAAGGACCCTGTGGAACACCACATGGTCTGTCATCTCTTGTCTACATGCAGCTGGGGTAACCCATGAATGGAGCTGGCAAGGCTGATCTGAGCTGATCACTAAAAGAGCTGATCAAGCCTCTGCCTATGCTCCTAAGGGTTACTCCTGACTGGAAATTGCCTGGGACTCCCCAGACAGTGACTCCTTCCCAGGATGCTTATCTAGGTTTGTTGCCAGCAGAACTGGGGGTCGGAGAGACCCTCAGACCCAGCTGAGACACCAATCCCACTTTTATTCTAATATTTTCTGGTTTTCTACTTCTAACACCTTGCCACTTTATGTAAGTCACATCAACTAATTCAGCTCAAATCTTTCACATGCTTCCGTGCTTTGCTTATTATATATTCTTTCAGGATACTTCTTCAGAATTTCACAACTGGACAACTGGGTGGAGCTTTTTTTCCTTCTCTTTTTCTGTCAAAAGTGTTTCCTTGAACATGACTCAGTGAAAATACAGACCAAAGACAAGTGTAAGAGACAGTGAATGAAGTGTGGTATCAGAAGGCAAACTGCTCTCTGCACTACTGACTGCTTTTTTGGTTGATTGTATTGATTTCAAAAAGTCAATACAGAATAAACTCCCATGTCCCCTCCTGTCTATCTAATCAATCTGGTTAATATTGATGCAGGCATTACCTGCAGTCAAGGTCAATATATACATGCAAAATGTTGTGCAATTGCCCTGATCATAACTGAGAGATAGGATATTCTTCTTATGCTACACAGAGAGGTTGTATATATTGCAGTGTGTCACACATAAATAATTGGTTGTTACAGTACAAGGGTGTCGTGGTTTTAAACCAATAACTAAGAAAATTACTTATTTCTTGCTGCGATATATGGATTAGAACAAGAGCAAAACAGGCATAAAACTTAAAAGGAAAAAAAAGAAAGTTTATTGACAAACTACAATAATAAGAACACTAGAATAAACTTCCAGAAAAAACCTTTTCATCCCCTATCTACTCACTATTCCCTTGTTCACATGACAACAGAGACAAAAACTTTGGAACTTTGATGGTTAAAACAGTCCCAATTCTTGCTACAGTCTTTTCACCAGTCTTTATAGAGAAACGGAAGTTTCTTCCTGTTAATTTATGGAGTTTCTCACAAGAAAACTATTTTTGTTACAGTTTTCTATTGCCCTAATGTTAGCTGCCCAGAGCTGCTATTATTAGAGTTCACTCCTCCCATTTTCACATCACTCTGAAGTGTGTATGGGCCATGAGTCTAGAGATAGCATTTTTAAGGATAAGTTATTCAAAGGCAAAAAAGTCTTCTTCATCTGTTTCTGTGAGCTTCACTAGAAAACAGTTTTCTCATTGCCTCTCAAGGCTTCAAATCTCCCAGCACTTCACTATACCATAATTACTCTACTTTTTACTCAAATTTACACTTTGAACACTTTATTCCTCTCTAGATACTGTATCATGAATTAAAGGAGCTCTTTTCAGGACTACATTGTCCATCTCCATAGTTTTAACAGAAAAATATTTCAGCTTAATTAAAGCATCTTCTTAATTCTCTACCTTTCCTGAAGCTTCTTTTCTTTCCTGTCACTGGTAGTTTATAAAGTCTCTTTTCATGTTGATCTCTCTCTCTCTCTCTCTCTGGATAAAAAGATTAATCCGCAAGTCTCATCTGGGTAATGAAAGAGTTAAAATCTTGCCCAGGCTTTTGTAGATGGTTTGGGGATCTCTGCCGAACAGGAGCTGGAGCTGTCTGTGATGGAAAGTTCTTCATAGCTGCTCTGGAGCGTGTAGTCGCCGCCCCAGCCCGCTGCAGGTCCAGGGCCTCTCTCCTTCTTCACTCGGCAGTTTCTAGTGAATTTAGTTACAGCAAAACCTGCAGCCGAGCCAGAGATCGGCTCGGCTCGGCCCGGGCCCGAGGAAAACCTTCCCCAGGCCCCCCCATCTCCCGGCCGGGAGACGGGGCAGGCCCGGCCCCATCCCCGCCCGGCCGCATGGCCTGGGCAGGGACGGGAGGCCTGGAGCTCCGCCACCCTCTACAGCCAGGAAACAAAGAGAACCCAGAGTGTTATAAGTATTTATAGTATTATGATTGTAATTGTTAGTCTGTTAGTATGTTCTTGTTTTCCCCTATTAACTGTATTGGTTTTGACCCCAGTTGTCAATTATGTAAACCCCTCCCCTTATTCCCGAACCTTCCCTGCCCGTCACCCCGGCCTGCCCTAATCCCCCTATCCATCATTGTAAACCCGACCCTTTCTCCCAGAACCTTCCATGCTCCTCACCCCTACTTTGGTTTGCGATTGGTTCCCTAGTTGCTGTCCCGCCCATGACATGTCCCTATTGGTCACCAGTAATGTAACCACCTCCCCTCACTCCTCCTCCCCTGATCCCTCATTGGACCCTGAGTTGTACCCTCCCCTGGGGATCAAGCGCTATATAACCTTGTGCACAGCTGTGTTGGGGGCTCTCCTTCCTCGTCGGGTTGTGAGTTGCAGGGAGTCAGGCTAGCCTGTCTCCCTACTCCTGTTGGTATTTTTGCCATCAAATAAAGGTTTGGCTACTTCTTTTAACATCCAGAAGTGTCCAGACCCTTGTTTGTTTTTGACACAGAGAGCTCTGCTTTTACACTTTAAGGTAGGGTTCACAAGTTGATCCTACTTTTCAATGGCCTAAACTGCTGTCAATTCTCAGCAATGACCGATAATTGGTCAGGAGAAAAGACTCCAGGCAGGGGGGTAAAGGTAAAGTAACTCCATGACAAAAGGAAATATCACTCTGATTCATTTGGGTAAGTGAGGGCATGGGCTCCTCAGTCCAGTTGTGTTCTTGGTTCTCTTCATGGTTCCTGGCCCATTTTGAGATGAACACCTTTTTCAGGGTCTCTGGTCACTGCCTCCAGTGCTTTTCATGAGCATGTTCAGAGCTGGTGTCTGATTAGAGGAATAAATGAAAAAAGGAGGCTCATGGGCACCTGTTATCCAGCCTGCAGACCCATCTGCACCTCTGCAGCCATGCACAAAATTTACCCAGACTTTCTGGAACTGGAAGACTTCAGTTTGGTGACACACACAGAGAACTTACTCATCATTGCACTGATGAACAGGGAGAGACACGGTGTGGTACTTTGGCAAAGGTGGCTGTCAAAATTGAGGAAGTCTCATTTCTCTCTATGACACCTTGATGATTCTCTGATTAAATTTCATTGGCCCTTAAGTAGTCTATCCCCACCAATCAATTGATTTTTTTTTTTTCTTACAGAATCTCATATGCCTCCTGTATGCATCATATATCATAGAAATTAGGTCATATTTAATATACTGAATCATAAACATTAGAGATGGAAAATCTCATTGAGCCATCAAATTCCTTTGTCAGTGGAAAAAGGTTCCCATGTAGAATAGAATTCAATTTTTAACATACAATATGTTCAGTCCTAAAATGTTTCTTTTTTTAGTTGTTATTCCACGAAACTCATTTAGTCCTTGCTATCAGGAATTTTTATGATTATGTGAATTTTCTTTTAGAAACTTTGCTCCACAACTTTTAATTATATCTCCACATTTCTCTATCTCCAGAAAATAGCATTTGCAGGTAATAATCATACGCCTTCTTTCCAGCACTATTCAAAATATGAAAAGATGGATCTAAATATGGAAACAATCCTGTAATATCTATTTGCCAAGATCTCTAAATGCCCTGCATTTTATTTTCTTGTCATGATTTTTTTTTTTTCTTCACAGTTTAGGAAACTGAAATAACCACTTTTCCTTTGGAAACACACTTTTTCATAATGGAATTGTAAATTACTTTTCAGTTCTTATTATCATGAAAAAGTCTAAGACTATGTTTTCTTATAAAATCTGTACTTTTTTTTTTAGCTAAGGTTAAGAACAAGAACAGGTTTAGTTATTTAGACAATATATATTTGGGACTCTTTCATGCATTACAAATCAATTCTTTTAGCTGACCTGATGTTTTTGCATCAGATCAAAAAATCAAACAACTTTGAGAGCAGGAAGCACTCCATCAGATATTCCTGCTTTTGAGGGTAAAAGAAACAAAAGTCTCTCTGGAACCTCTCTTTGTGGTTTTTCTTCTCCCAGTGAGCACAAAGCCCAAGGAGAACCTTACTGCCAGTGTGCTTTGAGGTGGGTGACAACCTATTTTTTCATTTGTATTTTAACCAGAGTGTACCAAAATGGGACAGAGCTGAATCACTGGGTGAGACTGAGCATGCTGGATCTTTTCTAGGGAGCACCTGGGGACAGAGACAGGAGACAGAGCCATGTCTGATAAACCTTGTGTACTTCTTCTGATATGAGATAACCTATTTTCTGGCATCATTGGATACTCAGATAATGTAAAACAGCCAGAAAAAAACAAGAGAAAACACAGATCACAGGATCACAGATGGGTTACTGGTCCCACTACCCTGCTCAGGTAGTCCTGGAGCAGGCTGTCCAGGACTGTGTCCACATGACTTTTGAGTCAGTCAGAGGTGAGAGACTCCACAA